GTTTTGTGCATCTATTGCTATTTATCATAACGTTCTTCATGCATGAAATAGAGTCATACTGACCTATGTTTTTTAGAGTGCTCTACCTTTTACTCTGACTATATTCATTTCTATTGTGTTTTTCTACTCTAAATTTTGCTTATCTTTTATTTAGAGTAAATGATTTTTGATCCTATAAGAGCTATTATTGATCTCGAGTGTATTTCGATTAATAGTCCTTTTGTTTCCTACGAATAAATCTTATAACTTTTATTTTTTTTATATCCTTTGATAATAGCAATATTTCTTTATAAGAATAATCGAGATTGTTTTTTGTTTTTTGCTTTTTTTGAGAGATGTATCCTAATCATAACATAGAAATTCAAAAAATGAAAGAAATGACTGATAAAAAAGAATGTTCCTTTTTATTTTTAATGTTTATTTTTTAGCATCATAAGATGAACAATTTTTCTTTACAATTGAGAATCTATTCAAAAAGTTCTCTTCAGCGGAAATTAGTTGAGTGATTCAAATAGCATTCTTTCATTAGAAATAATAGCATATTTCAAGTAGTTCTGACGAACTACATTTCAATAGTTGCATGAATTAATGAGGTCTTTTCAGGTCGTATAGAAAAAAAAACTTTAGATTATCAAATAATATATTTTTTATGAATTACATCAATTGACTATATACGAAGAGTAAATTTTGATATAACATAATAGAACAAGGCAAAATTTGAATGCAAGAAAAAAAAAAAGATCAAATTTAGTATTATGATTTTTTAAACGTAATATGATATAATTTCATTCTATTTTCTTTTTTTTTTAGACGATGAAGTTATATATTTCAACGTGTCACGCAAATTCGATCTACATGTTAAACATGTTTTCTTAATGATATAATGACATTTTTTCATTTGATTTTTTTTCTATGAACATACGACTTGTTCTTTTTTGTTTGCGTTTTCTTTTTGCTCACTATTTGTTAACCTCTGTGTACTAGTATACGAGATTAATTATGAAGAAAAAAAAAAACCTGTTACTATTTCAATTTATGTTTTCCTACGTATTTTGTTTTGTTATGTTCTTTGTTTTTTAAAGAATTAGAAGTTTGCTTAATCACAATTGCTTTACTTTTGCATGCATATTTATTGTTTATTGTTTCAATATATATTTACGGTTTTATTTCATTGATTTATTTGTAAATCGATTGTAGTGTTTTTTCCTTTTCTTTTTGGTCTGACGATGTGATATGAGAAGCTTTTCGGGGGGGTGAATAGCTGTTTTTTAACATTGTATATGCACGATAAGATAAATAAACAAAGAAAATTAAAAGAAATTTTCAAAAATTTGATAATCAATCATCATTTTCCACATGAAACTTTTCTTTTAAATCTTTAACCGCCGCTGCCGTTTATAAACGTCATGGACTTTATCAGTGACTAAATCTAACGTAATCAATCGTAGTGAACATTTTTCAGATCAGCTTGCATAGAAATAAGCATCAAACAGCTGAAGCCTGTGATACTATCATTTCATAATTGTATATTCTACAGTCGTGACTTAAAAACGGATATGTGTAGCAAACAAATACTTTTTTCTTTCTCTTATGTCGGCGAGCAAAGGGTTAATATAAAATGTCTGAGTTTCTAGAAAATTTTCAAATAGATTATTTAAAGAAAAAAATTGTTTTTAGTATTTTTGCTTTCTTAAGATTTTATTCAGACATTAAAAATAAATGCATTCATTTCAAGAAAGAAAATTAAATATTTGTTGATATGTCTAATAGACAGATTAATAATGATCATAAACTTTTTAAAAAGCTATTATAAATATTTTAATAGTTAATAACTAATATGATATTCAAACATTAAGATCAATTAAGAAAATGCAAATATATCAAGGGATTTTGTCTATTTCGATACTATGATAATCGAGTTATTCAAATGACATTTGATTTCATCTTAATATGGTTTACATATCTATGAAGTATCACATAACAAAAACAAAAATGAATATCACGAAGAAAAATCTCAAAATTACCGACAAATCAAATTTTATATGAACTAAAAATAAAATAAATAGTTCGCTATATATCAATTTAATCAAACTTCAAAAAAAAAAAAACATATTTTTCTTATTTTTTGTCTACAATTAGTTTATTATAATTTCCTTGTTTTTTTTTTTCTCTTCCTCTAATGAATTATTTAGAGTTGGTCACGACCCGTCTGCCCGATAGAATAGAATCAAAGGAAATTGACTGAATGCAAAAAGACATCAATACTATATTTGATAGTGTCACAATGTAATCAAAGCGTTTCTTTTTCTTCTCTTTTCTTGTCTCTAGTTTCTTTCTACGGTTGTTCGAGACGAGAGAAACCATTTATTCCAGCTCGTTGGATAGTAGCAGAAAAAAAAAATGGAAACATTACACACAGTATTCTATTGACGTCGATGTGAATAGTAAAACGACCAGTTTTTTATTCATCAATTGGATAAGCTTACAATAGTATATATCTATATATTAACAGAAAGTGAGTTATAAAAAAAAAAAACCTAATTTCATATTCTGACATATTCTTTTTTTTTGTATTAGCATAGACATCTTTTCAATACTATAAAATAGGCTCATATAGTTAAAAATTAGTTGTATCATGATCATTGTATTGAATAGTCTTGTAGAATAAAAATGTACTATTGATCATGAACTCTTTTTTTCTACAATTGAAATGAACTTGTCATTGCGTACATCTTGACAAAAAAAAAATGAATCTATTGTATGTTAACAAACTCATAGAAATAACTTGTCATTCAACATTGATACTTTATGTCATTTCAACTGAATTTCGATAGAACAATATAAATAGTAAGAGATGACATAAAGAAGCCATTCATTTTTTTTTTCTTCTTCTTATCAATATGACAACACAAACCAATTTTTCATACATTTGCGTTAGTTTTTTTTGTCCCCCCCTTCAACAAGAAAATGTAAATTTTTCATTATATTGATCTTGTATAGTTTTTCTTTTGTTTTTTTGTTATAAAGATATTAAATTAAAATAATGAATGCTACATCAAATGTTTTATTTGAACAACGTCTTGGAGATTTTAAACGTATTGTTGAAGGTTATTTATTATCTATTGTATGCATATGTGGTTTATTAGGTAATGCATTAACATGTATTATATTATCTAGTCGTTTTATGCGAACATCAATAACAAATATTTATATATTTTCTCTATCATGTGCATCATCATGTGTTTTAATTGGTTTTTTATTAACACATGGTATACGTTCAACATTTCATGCTGAAATATTTTATCGTTGGATATTTACTCGAATATTTCCTATACATGTAACATGTTTATTAATTCAAATCTATTTAACAGCAGCAGTTGCACTTGATAGATTTATTCTTATTTGTTTACCATTTCGTAGTCAAAAATGGCGTAGTCCTAAACGAGCAATATTTGTTGTTATTGGTATTACTTTATTTAGTATATTATATTGTATACCATTTTGGTTTGAATTTTCATTAATTAAAGAACATAATCAAACAACAATAATATTATCTGAATTTGGATCAAATCGTTTATTTCGTTTATTAATGCGTAAATATCTTTATTTTATATTTGTTTTTCTTTTACCATTATCAATAATAGTAATATGTAAAATATTAATTATTAGAACATTATATTTAATAAAAATACGTAAACGTTCATTAGGAACTTCATCGAAACAAAATCATTCATCAAATGCGATAAATTTCCTACTTTTATCTATTGTATTTTTATTTTTATCAACACAAATACCATATTTTATATTTAATGTACTTTATTCATGGTTTGGGACTCGTCTTATGACAAATTTACTTGCAAGACAATATTTAGCTATTAATAATTTACTATCAGTTATAAATGCATCATCAACATTTATTCTTTATGCTTTTTTTGATAAAAAATTTCGAGAAGTTGGTCAATATTTTTTATTTTGTCAACCATTACCAGCTAATCTTGATGCACGTTATGGTGCAATACGTTTATTAACACAAAATTTTACAATATCAAAACGACGTTCAATTAATTCAATACGTCAAGGTTCATCAAATATGAATAATAATCATATAGATTTAACAAAAAAAAATTTAATATTATCAAATAATATGCCAGCATGTGTTTAAAGAAAAATAAATATGAACTTTATTTTTTAAAACATATAAAACTTTATATGAAATATTAATTTATGCTTATGAAATCATTATTTATAATTACATGTACTATTTTATTTTATTTTTGAAACAATACGTGAGTCGAATTTTAGTAATAAATAAAAATAAACAAAGAACGAAACAATTAATAGATCTATATATATATTTGTCTAGAACTTGGAAAGATTATTTCATAGAAACAAATTTTAAATATTTTTTTGTTGTAAAAGAAAACAGAACGATTGTAAAAAAATGTTCATAAAATAATACTTTTAATTTCTAATAATAAAAGAATTGTTTTTGTTTCTAATACCGGATGTCAATTAAAATATTCATATATACATTTTTGAATGAATCTTTATTTATTTATTCTTAAATCTGATTGTGTAAAAAGCAGAAAAAAAAAAGGTCATGTCAATGATTTTTTTTTTCTTTTATATAAGCTTGAATAAAAGAATAACTTGAATAAGATTGATGATGTTCTAAATATAAATAGATTTGAAGATAATGTGGAATGAAATTATCTTTTCATGAGATAGATTATTTATTCTGTCAGTCAATAGGGCAAATGAATATCGATTATCCTCCAAGAATATGTTAATATTAATGTTTATCTCGTTTTTTTTTTTGCTATAGCAGAAAATTATTTTTCGAATAACTAAAACCAGAAAAAGATAGTTATTATAGCTTTGAAAAACATACATATATGTTATTTTACTAAACGAGAAATAATATTCTATCATCACATAATTATTATGACAAAAAAAAAAAAAAAGAAGTTCGAAAAACAATAATGATCTTGTCATCGAATGTTGCGAAGTATAATAAATCATTGAGTATATTTTTCTTTTGATGAGATTATGTACTAATAATCAGAATTTAAGATGTTTTTTTTTTCTTCTAAACTTTTGAGTGTCGTAGATGTAGAAAATTTATCGATTTGAGATTTTATTTATTGAAATATTTTAAAGTCAGAAAAGTATTTTAAAAGTTTTAATTCAAACAAATAATTATTGGAATTGATAGTTTTATAATATTACGATTGTCTCGATATCTTTCTATTAAAAAATAAAAAAGTTCAAATTTAAAATTCATCAGGTGATGTGTTATAACTACCATATCTCAAGAATGAAAATTAAGTAAAGTGAAAACAATTGGATGTAGATAATAACATAAAAACAGATCCTTGTAAGCTTCTATTATTATATTCATCAAGTTCTATTATTGGACAAAAATGTCACAGTAATATATTTATCTAATGAAAATAGAAAAATATCTTGACAGTTAAGGACTTATGGTCATTATATATGATAAAAAACAGATTTTTTTTGTAATTATCGATCTTTTGAAATGAATATACAGATGGCTAGATCGATTCTAAGACTAAAACACGACTTATTCCAATAATTGATAGTTGTTACGATGAAAATGACTAGATTTTATATCTACAAAATTGATTAGAAATCTTTATGTGTTATATCATTAAGAAAAATAAAATAGAATGAAAACATATGTTTTGAATTAATAGACAATAATAGTATTTTGTTTAGCAATGCTAATTTTATTCTTCTTGTTTTCATTTTCTTTATAAGGCAACAGAACCTGTTTAATCATACTGAAGGCAAAAGTCGGTTATAACTAGTATACTGTTGTTCTATTCAATAAGCAACATATTGTATACATTAAAACTATTTGATGTTTGCACCCTTTCAGATTATTGACGTTCTTTTACTGTCTCATCATATTGATTAGATGACATTTCTATCTTGTCATGTTGGATAACATAAACTGCTTTTTGCCCGTCTTTTTTTCTTTTTTTTTTATTAAGAATTTTTCCTTGAGAATAAAAAACATGTCAGATTTGTATGTAACCTTTGATATGAATTAACCATAGAAGTCATAACAAAACAATAGAATATATAGACAGCTTGTGTTTTTCGGATATATATTGACTGCGGTTCTTGTCGCGTTTTTTTATTTTTTATTTTATAATAGTATATAGTCAGGAAATCAATTTCCTTCTTGTCAGTGATTATAGAAATCGATAAACAAAGAAAAAAAGATCATATATGCTTGACTTGTACAATCAGTTGATTAAGAAGAAAATGTTTATTCATATATAAATATGATATTTACACAATTCTTATATAGAATTTTCTTAATAAATGAATTCAATTTTTGAACTCATAAGAAAAATAGTTTTAGCTTTGAAATATCTGTTAAAGATATTCGATGCTTATGAAACAAACCTTCTTCAATAGTCTTATATATCCTAATGTGATATGTTTTTTATGTAATTTGACTCGTTTACTTGTCAAATAGCCATTTGCAAAAATAATATGATCGATTTATTGTTGGGCGTTTTGGATAACAGAAAATCTGAGAATTTTAATCAAGGCTATCAAAAACAAAACAATCTTTTTTTTTTGCCAATTTTATAATGCACTCAAGCAGAAGAACATATTTGTCTACTTAATGTCACTCTAGTAAAATGAATTTTTTATTCTACTAAAATCGATCAATCTGAAAAGTAGATATTTACTATATTAATTTGTAATATGTAAGATCTTACTGTCTTCTGATAATCTTTTGTAGACATCTTATTTATTTAATCCGATCCTAATATCATCTGGATAATCTATCTCTTTATCTAAGACTTTTACTAAGAACATGTTTTTTTAAAATGATAGATAAAATATTTTTATAGTCGATTTCATTGTTCGGTTTTTTTTCAAACCAAATTATTATTTATCATCGAGTCTAACAATGTTAAATAATAAAAAAGAAATAGAAAATAATCTTTATGATTAAATATGTAAGTAAGTCGATGCATATATCGGCGATGCCAACAGGAAACTAGCCGTACAATTATTGCAGTCACCGAGACTGCCTGAAACGATACTGTATATTATCATTTCATACAATTTGCAGTCGTAAAAACTTGTATCTTGATGCATTGACAATCCAGTGAAATACAATTGTAAAACTACGCCTCTCAAACGACTGTTTACGATCGTGCTGATTTGATCTGATTAACTACTTATGAAAACAGCAACGATACACAACTGAACTACTAGACCCTTGATGGCTGAAAATCATTTAGAAAAATCAGCGGTCGTGATGACACTCGAGTCGATCGGCAACTAATGTCTTTACTTATAAGGAATCAAAAGATTAAATGCAACAACAAAAATAATAATAAATCATATGTGAACTGAACAACGTATCAAATAACAACTGTCGTACTGTTTTTCCTTCAGTTCAAGCACGAACTATTAATTTCAAAAAAAAAAAACATTTTGCAAAAGAATTATGAAAGATCTTATTTTTGAACTAGTACGATCATATCAACCATGTCAAGATATTTCTTTGCCTAATGATATAAATAATCAAACTTTGAAAGTCATCAGATCAAAAACTTGCCGTTCGGAAACCGAAATGATCAATATATCTGACAAGTACATGAAAGTGGTTGTTTTTTTTTCCTCTATTTCATACAGAGAAAAATCACTTCAGTGAGAAATGAAAGATTTATATGTCAATGAGCTTTGATTGAAAAATGATTTCATTAACATTCGGGTGCCTGTTTTATATCAAAGAAAATAAAATAGCATTTTCTAAACTAGTGTTTTCTTCCTTTTTTTTATCAAGAAACCATAAAATTCTCAATACAATGATTATACATCTGACACACATAGAATTTCACTTTCTCGCTAGTTGCAGTTCTAGAAAAGAAAATGATTTGCTAAATACTATCAAAAATAGAATTTACTTCAACATATCTTTTCGTACTATTTTTTGTTCTACCTTTGATGTCACTTTTCAAACTTGGTCACAATTCGGACTATAGGAATATTAAAGTAAAAACTAATCTTTTCAAGAGTTAACGACCTATTCGAGTACTTCGGTATTATTCTATATCTGAATGTTTTCATTATACGAACAGTTTCTACTGTGTATTATTACATAAAACGACTAACCAATGTCATATTTTTTATGACAAATGTCTTTCATTAGGGTCTGTTTTCCATTTTTACCTAATTATAAACATAATTAGCTTCCAGTAGGATTCATGCTATTATTGTTGTAAACATATGACATAATGTTATATAAACTATATTTAGTTAGTACATATTAGTGAAGAATACTTAACAAGCTAGTTCTTAAAATTGAGCATTACAACAATCAGATAAATGTATAATACTTTATTATTGTAATGAAAACAAAAAAAGAGTTGAATTATGATACATGATAATGTAAACAATAAATAAACAAACGACATAAAAGAGTAAAATAGGTTATTATGCACGGACTGAAAATGAACGTGGACTAGGAAATAAGTAATAGTAGTAGACAAAGAATTTCAGTTGATTGTATTTCTAAACTCATTTCTATAATTCTACATTTAAAAATCGATACTATTTCAAAGCCTATAGATTAAAAACGATTATAAATAAGTGATAGCATGATTTTCTATTGTACAGAGTTTATTTCAAAATCATAGTAATCGGATATGTATCATTTCGATTATTCTTGAAAAATAATCAGATAAAGATGGCTGTCTAAAAACTTCTAAATACTTCTTATAGTTGAATTAACCAGAAAAACTTATGAAGTGATAAATTCTTTTTTTGAGATACGTCTTACTTCACTAGATGTATGTTATTAAGACTTGAAAAGGATGAAAATAATTCCTACTTAAAGATCTTTCTTCTCGAGTTATGAACACTCTAGTGAAGCTTCCAACCTGATGCTATAATCTTTGTCCTCAGATCACTTTCTCAATTGACATTCGAATTTGAAATTCAAATTTTGTACCAATTAAATTTTCAATGGAGACTAGTCCGTTGTGAATGTAGTTATCATGGATATATATGAAAGACTTATTTGCCAGTTAAATTAATGCTTAGAATAAGCATAATAAGAAAATGAAAAATAACGAGCGAATAGCAGCATAGTAAACAACAAATAGCACGTCATTAAAAAAAAACTTCTGCTCAAAAGTTTCGCTGATGATCGATTAACTTAGGAAAATAATTATAGTCTGCGAGAGATATACAAGTTTACATATTTTATGCCAGTATAATGATGCTAAAGAATATATGTCAGTCCGATATTTTAGTTCCAAAGTGGCTTTACTGACTAACTTTGATTCTTATTTTTTTACGATAAAAAAGTATTTTTATTTTTTTTCATCTCTCTTAATGATGTTTAAAAAATTGTTGTAGGTAGTTTTTTTTTTATTTGTTTACGTGTTTCTATAAATACACACGAACTTTTTTGACTTTCAACGTAGAAATAATTCGTAGGTGACATTCATAAAATAAAGAAAAACATTTAAACCCTGGATAATACTCTTCTATTTAAAAAATAAAATCATTTAGTCAAATGAGTATTAATAATTACAAGACCCTATATTAATTCTACGAAAGAAATGTTCTTTCTCAAGTTTTCTTCGAAATAAAAAAAAAACAGCGAGACGTATATGAATCGTTACTTTTTAATCGTTTGTATCTTTTTATGATATCTTCTAATTGGTTAACTAAACAAATATACATTTGTTTCCATTTGAAAAAAATGGGTTTAGGACAGTTGCTCGCCGGACAGTTGCTCGATAGGACACTTGCTCCATCGCTTTTATATAAGTATGATGATTGAATACGACTAAACATTACAGAGATAATGACCGTCAGTGTGCTCTACATATAGACTAATCAGTTCAGTCAATTTTGTCTTGAATTATTATACTGAAAATTAAGCGATCATGTCATTCGCGAGCAAGTGTCCTATCGAGCAACTGTCCGCGCGCAACTGTCCGGATCCCGAGAGAAATATATTCTAACTATGTGTTATAACGTTACTTCTATTACATTTTTATCGATGTAAACTACCAGATCATATATGTCCATCACATCCAACCGGTTCATTTCCGTATAGTGCTGATCCTTGTGATCAAACATATCATACACTATATCAAGTTCTATTGATCAATGTATTGGTAATGCATCAATTGTCGTAACTGATTGTTATTTTTATCTTAAATTATTGAATTATTATCAATCCACGTAAAAAAATACATCTCAAAATTAGATTAAAATCGATTATTTTTGAATGAATAATCTATTATAATGCCACTGTTTTAGTTTGATTTTAATCGAATTTTCAGCTTTACAGAGAAATTTCATTTGATTTTAATCTTTTCTAATCAATAATAGTACCATTATACTAGATTATAATTTGATTTTTAGCCGTTTTTTTAAACATGAAAAGGCAGTTGTAAACCATATACAAAAGATTGCTTGACTGGTTATTTTTCAGGCTTGTCGAAATATAGGACGAGTTGCTGATAGATCATCATCTGCTTTTCTATCTTCGTATGACTCTGGCATAAATGGTTGTACATTCTCTAATTATGTATCAAGTATACAACAATACTTCCAAGATGAAACTTCGACGAATATCTTAATTCATGAAAATATATCAAAACCATTAACTTATATAGAACTTGTTGATGGTACAAAAAAAGTAGTTTGCTTATTTTTACAATGACAAAATGTATTTTATAATATTTTTTTTTTACATAGAGAAGCATCATCTAAACATAGTTTTGAAATATACAGTATAGAAATTTCCATTCCCAGCAAACCATGACAGATGTTCTCTAGAGATCATCGCAGATCTCATAACTCTGACATCTTATTAAAATATATTAATTAATTCCTTATTACCATTCTTGAATATTAAGTGAACGATAATGAAGAAATATGTCCTAAAATAGATCGAATAAAACCATTGTTCTATGATTAGCAACAATAGATACATCTTATTTGACCTTTTAATCTCATACGGATTGTGCTAAGAACTTTTATAAATTAATTGTCTATATGGTTAAATTATATAAAACGTCTGTATATTACGTTTAATCTATCAAAAATATAATGATCATTTTTTTTTTACTACTACTTATAATGAGTTAGAATATGTTATATTTTATCGTCTACTTTACTTTTTCTCTAAAAGAAAAATTAATATTGGATTAACTTTAATATTCATAATGATAATATATTTTTATGCCTTTAAAATACGATTGTAGCTCTGCTGAGAAGAAATGTACAATACCATTAACAATGTTTCGAGCACAAAAGAAAAAAAACCAAAAAATTTATAAAATTATTTGATATATCGACAGAAAATAATGTCTTGGAAAAAATTAAGTACTAATTATTATGAGGATAATTGTGCCTGTATATGAAACCGATGTTCTTTTTTCTTATGATAAAATAATATCTATGTAGAACAACGATAAACACAATTGAATTCAAATAATGTGTCTAAAGATAAAAGTTTTATGATTAACATATTTATTAAGTTTCACAATGTTGGCTTAAGAAAATAAAAGAATAATTATTTTTATAGGAACTAATATGTTTCAAAAGCTCAATACATGAAAGTTATATGTCTGAGAAAGACATCTTCGGATATTAAAAAAATCTTTGTTTTGATTTCAAAATTGCATTTCAAGAATAAAAAGAAAACTTATTTTCTATTAGTGAAACACTGTCTTAGAAATAGAACAAAGTATTTTGAGCGGATCAAGTTCACAAACTGAACTTTTGAAACACAAATTAGTTCCTATCAAAGAAACTTCAAAAATCTATCTTATGATATGACCTGACATATTCGAACAGTTCTTTCGCTCATTTGATTTCAACTTTGAATTGAAAACTAAAATTTTCATGAAATATATTAACATAAATATTCTTGTTACTCTTATTGTTTAGTTTAACAAAGTAGTTGAATAGTGTTGTCACTATTTTTTTAATTTCTAGATGCATATTTCGTTATATAGCCACCATGCAAAAGAAATAAATAGGTATTTCAATTGATATCGATTGTCTTAAAAAAATTCATATGTAATGATCAATAACATTAAACAGTATTTGGTGACATCTATATTAATCATGTGATTCGTTTGCACGTGATACCACAAATAATTGCACGTGTCATTTATTTCTACAGACAAAGTGTCAAAGAGTACGTGTATTCATAATTTCTTGACATTCTTCGTGAGACAAAGATAACCATTGCTACTTTATACTTATGTCTTATTTTTTTTTTCATGAAAGATGAGGATTGAATTCGATTTATATAAAATACTTTTTAGTCGATATAATATTTTCTAATAGTTGACAATCATTATCTTACATTGATAGAAGTGTTATCAATGAAAATTAAATATTTGTTTTTTTTTTTTTAAGATAAATCATGTCTTCATTCTTTAATTCAAATTATTTTCAAGCTATTCTTAATTTAATTGGAAATGGAAATGTAAGAGTTACAGTTTTATAAATAAAATAAAAGATTTAATATAATTTTTAATATTGTTTATTTATTCGAATATTTTTAGTCAACACTTAGTACTCTTTGGGGTATGTTCTGGCAGGCATTTTATGCAGTTGCTGGTTGTATTATTGGAGCAGTAGTTTTAGGAAACATTGGTGCTCTAATTGGTACTTTTATTGGTAAGATAAATTTATTTATTTTAGTAATAATTTTCTTTTTTTTTTGTAGGAGCTTGGTTAGGTTATCGAGCTGTTAATCCTTATCATTCATTAATGAGTCAATTGAATCAATTAAATGATCATCAAAAACAAAATTTAACTGATGAAATTCGCCGTACTGTCGGTTCACCAACAGTTGATAGTTTACTTCGATATGTAGGTTCATAATGAAAAAAAAAAAAGGCAATATTCATGGAAATTTTATTGTATTTTTTTTCTTAATCTAGGCTACGAATAGCAATGGTCGACAATTCATCTTTGATTTAATTCAACGTTATTTAGATAATCATCAAACACGTAATCAAAATGTTAATCCTAGTTTCTTTTCTCGTATATTTTCCTAACTGTATATTTTTTATCGTTTATATATATATATATATGTTAATCAAGCTGTTTATACATAATCTAGCTATTTAGATATAGTGTTTTGAATATAAACATATTGTTGTACGTATTGTCTGTTTTTAATTAAAGATATATAAGAATGAATATATCGGAAGTATCAAAACAATTACTTGATGCAAAAAGAAAAAAAAATTTAACATTTGCAGATATTGGACAAAAATTAGGACGTGATGAAATATGGGTAGCTGCTTTATTTTATGGTCAGGCAAGTTTTCCTGATGAAAAAGAATGTCAAAAATTACTTGATATACTTAATGTTAATTTATCATTCGAACATATTTATGAATTAACACATCCACCATTTAAAGGTTCAATTCTTCCATCATTACCACCAACAGATCCTTTACTCTATCGATTTCATGAAATTCTTCTTCAATATGGTGTACCAATGAAAGAAATTATACATGAAAAATTTGGTGATGGAATTATGTCAGCTGTAGATTTTACAGTTAAAATTGATAAAGATGAAACAAATAAAGATGCACCAAGAGTAAATATTAATATGTCTGGCAAATTTTTACCATATAAAAGATGGTGATTTTATTGATCGAATATTGACTTTTATGTGTGTGTGTTTTAATGATAGCAATAAAAATAAATGTTTTTTTATGAAGAGAAAATAAATGATATATTGTTTAGTATTA